TGTTTCAGTCAGGTTTTGGTCATTGTTATGTTTTATCTTCGGTTATGTGTTTTGTTTGATATTTTGGACTTTGTTTGTTTTGGATTTAGTTTTCTGAGTTTCAATACACTTCTTCAAATACACCCTGCTCCTCCCTCTTGCCTGCTTTTTGGGTCCATGACCACCTCGCAACCGTGACACTTATCCCCTATCGTTCACATTTTTTCATGTGTTGCATGCGGGGCAATCATACTCTCCTCTCCTCACCCACCTCCGAAGTGCTTCTTCTGCATCCAGTTGCTCTTTGGCCACCATCAGGTCCCTCTGTAGGCTCACGTCTGTGCCATTCACCCACGTGTACACCACATCGATGGGAATGGGTGTACACTCTCTGCCAGAGGAGAAGAAATTGAGCCACTTGGACGATGTCAATGTGAAAGGAGCTCTTCTTGTGGTTTGACTTGTTGTTTAATCATATTGAGAGCACTCTCTGACATTGTTGTTGAAGTGCACTATTCAGTGGAGTTGAGAAAACGCCGTGGGCTGATTCCTCACCTGCTGTGGAATGATGTACATTTATCCACCTTCTTGTCTCCCTTGTCTTCGGGAACCTCATTCGACTGGTGAGACCAGTCCTGACTCTGCAGTTTCTCAAGCTGCACACATGAGAGTCACGTCTAGTGACGACTTGCATTGTGATGACATCGTCCGTGTGATTTTGTACACTTTAACTGCCTCTACTCACTTGTAAAACGCAGCAGATTAGCTGGTGTTCAACTGTAGAGTACATGTTATTTTTAAATGTAAATTTCGAAAGTTCTCACATACTCCAGCAACATTATGTTTCATCTCGGAATGTTTCGACTCATTTTGCTTTGGCGGATCACAAATGCCTCTTGAAAACGATGAGTTTCTTTTCAAATATCCTTCCACCGAAAATCATAATTATACGCAGATTGTTTCAAAAGCCGAGAGCGCCGGTCACCGCATCAGTTTTGGGCAGCATGTCTTCAAATAAATTGACACTGAGACATTTTGGGCCAAAGAAGCCAGAGGCGACTCACCTCTGCCATGCGATGAAGGTGCAGCATCACGAGAATGAGGGCTGCACAGCAGACTACGACTTTGTATCGGCGACGAAGACAGATGTATGGCAGCCTCCGAAATAGCCTGCGTATCATTCGGCCGCCTGCCATGAGTCCTGAGAGAGCACATCGTTGGATATGTCTTAACTGAAGAGACACAATTCTGACAAGCATTTGACCATGAGGATTGCATTCGTCTCGCCAGGCAGCAAACCTGGATGTAGGATGGATTACGTTGCACCTGCCACAGCGCCTCATTCAACGCCAAAAGACACTGCGACACACTAACTTACTTAGGTTGTCACACTTGACAGACCCGTTGAACATATTAAAATTAGAGCAATCTCTGTTTTTTTTTTAAATGGGTGGGTCAGTAGGAAGCAACCATTTCTTCTCAAAAGCGGTGGTTGGGGGGGACATCGACTGACTGGGAGTGAATTCTAAACATACTTTTTATGCACACTACGGAGAAAATGTGATGATTTTTTTTTTTTAAATAAACATTTCCTATTGATAGATTCACGGTCAACGGTGGTGGTGGCAACTGGGGTGGCATTTGGTAAAGGTGGCAGCAGCCACCCCTTCCCGACCTGTGAAACCGCCAATGGTTTGCGCTGTTTGTGGCAGGGTTGTCACCCGGTTCTCTGTCACTCGCGGGTGCTTCCTGAAGCACAACGTGAGACAGGAACTTCACACACCTTTCCAAGATTAATTTGCACCTGCAATGGAGTGATGTACAATTACTGCATCGACATACATTGCGCAAATCCAAAAACCTCTTGAAAGCGGTTGGACCGGTTCCGACTCCACTCTTACACAACCTGCATGTATGGGGGCTCACATCAGGCGCTGACGTATATTGAGATGACATCGTCGGTTTGAATTCAGACATTTTTAACACATTGTGTCCAGCAGTCACACCCGCATTATTGTTTCTACTTGTGAAACAACAGATAAAAACGGCAAATGAAGTGGTGTGCAAAAAAATGACAACAATAGCCTTCGGGCGTTGGTTATTTGAAGACATTTGAATTTGACAATTAGAAATATCACTCCACAAAAGACAATACATAATTACATTTCAATTAGAGCACTGTCACGGTGCAACGGTAAGTTTTCAACAACTCTCCTTTAAATCACTGATGAGGTTGTTTTTCCCCAACAATTATTATCTTGATGAACATGATTTGTTGGTCATTAGACAGAGGAACGAGTCGAGGGCGGCACGGTGGCCGATTGGCCTTCACACCCTGAGTCGTCCGAATCTGTTGACTTTGGTCAGCGGTCCTTGTTCCTCCCTCAGCTGCTCTTTGGCCACCCGAAAGTCCCTCAGGTGGGTCACAGCCGTGCCACCTACCTTGATCGACTGGGACCTTAATGCTAGATGCACGCGCGTCCATGTGCGCGTTTGCAGTTTTTTGATATCTAGCATAATTCGAGAAAGCCATTTAAACAGGAAACTGACAGTTTTCATCTGTCACAAATAATTGGTGGACCAACAGAATTCAGATTCAGATTCAGATTCAGGAAACTTTATTCATCCACGTGGGGTAATTTGGACTTAACAGGCACGCTCTGCACAAGAAACATGAAAAACAAAGACGAACATGGGATACAGTGCGAAGGGCCTGTCGGTACTCGCCGTATGCACAGCGCCCCGAGATCTTAGTTGAGAAAAGTAAACACCAGGGAAGGAGGGGAAAAAAAAAACATGCTCGAACTATCCTCTTCTGAGGATATTTTAAGTCTCGGAGAAAAAAAAATTCCCTGCACATCAAGCGTATGACAGTTGCAACAAGTCACAAGACATAACATGTGATGGGGGGGCGGATGGAGCGCGACGCAGCACGACCGGCGTGCTGCCAGTCCATCCAGCGCACAGCAGATCAAGTCACATCACGGGGAAAAGCCAGGAGGAACGATGAAGGCGTTGATGATAAAGGGCAGGCCGCAGCTGCTTCGTCAAGGTCTGCTCATGGAGACAGTCCCAGCTTATCAGTCCGTGGCTGAGAAGGAGGGGGTGATGGGTGGGGCACTAGCTTCCATGCGTACTTTCCAGGGGAAAGGGTCCAGATAGCGTTGTTTTGTCTTGGGACGGCCGCGAAATTTTTCAGGTGGCCTTGAGTTTGTGGCTGTATTCCTTCACTGGCGCCGATCAGCCAAATCCTCATTTCCTTTTCGAAGCGAGAATTCCAACTTCACCATGTTGTCGCCAATCATACGGAGACACCCCAAAACCGCATCCATATTGTGGTTGAGCTCAGTCACCGCTTGAGTCTGTGTGTTGGACATTCGCGCTAGACCATCGAGAATGACCGGCAGCTTCTTAACTTCCAATAAAGCTGCTCCCATCGGTTGAATTTTGTGATAGAACAGGAAACTGCCAGTGTTGTGTCCAAGGACCGGCAACCCGAG